TCATGTTCATGGGTGGAGTTTGTAGACTGCTGAGTTTTAATATATGATTAATTGGTGAGCTGGCATATCTGTAGAAGGAACCACTCTATTTTAGTATCATTAGTTTTTTTCTATGGGGCCATTCCCCATTTCTCCCAAGAAGAATTCTTGTCTCCTGTTAAGAAATATAAGGGTGTCTGACAGCAATCTGTTTGAAAAAGGTGGTTGGGCACAGGATTTCTATCCATATTTTCATTTAACTTCTCTGTTCATGACTCCTACCTTCCAATATTCCTGATATCCCCAAATGAAGTGACTTTCCAAATCAGATTCTTGTGGGAATAAATTGTAATAACTCATAATTTCCTTCCATTCTCCCCAACTTTCAGAACAGTTTTGCAAACATCACAGCCTATTAAAGTCTTGTGTTGGGGTTTCAGAAAGGGGCTTATGACCAAGTCTAGGGTAGATTAGGGAAGGAGGAGAAAGCAGCCTTTTCCCACAACCACCACCTCCATTTAAAAATCTACCTGGTGGCAACAGCACTATTTCAAGACACCACCATGGTCCCAGAACTTTAGGAGCTGGCCAGAAACAGAGCAACAATTTTTTACATAATAATATGGGTCTTCCCTTATATAATGTTATGTATCAATTATATCTCAATTTTTTAAAAAGTTTTACTAGATAAAAAAAATACTAACACGGGTTTTCCAACTTGATAATTACAGTAGTTTTGTCACTGTCTGCTTAGAGCAGCAGGCGAGCAGTGAAGGGGTCCCTAACTTACAGGACTCTGTATCCAAGTCTCAACTCCAACCTAGTTGACTCATCTATTACATATATTTATCAATATTGCCTAGTTATCCATGAAATCCCCTAATTTTGATATAGAATTTTAATCCTCATTATCTTTTAGGGAGGTTCCTTGTAGATAATAACAAATGAGCAAAGGAGAAGAATTTAGGGGCACCTGGGTGGTGCAGTTAAGCTTCTGACTCTTGATTTTGGCTCAGGTCATGATCTCAGGGTTGTGAGATCAAGCCCGCCTCTGAGCTCAGTGTGAGTTAGCTAGTCCCTCTCCCTATGCTGCCCCACCACCACCACCCTCCCCCCTGCTCCCGCTTGCTCACACATGTGCTCTCTCGCTCTCAAATAAATAAACAAAATCTTAAAAGAGAGAGAGAGAGAAGAATTTAAAAGTGGGAATGGGTTTTAGGGACTATTTGATCTGATAGCTTTATTTTATAAATGAGAAAATTGAGGTTGAGAGAGCCATGACAGGGCACAAATAGCAATGCAGTTCTCTCAATTTTTAGTAAATTGTTTCCACTCCTTTGACTATACTATTCATACTGACATGGCATGGGTTAATTAATTCAGGAGCTATTGACTCAGCATCCATTAATTTTAAGTTTTCACTAGTTATACAGATAATAGAAATAGGGTGATTCGCTGTAACATTGGTTTAGTTTTACTAATTTTAACATGCTTTTCTACAGAAATTTCTCAAACCTATGCTATGTGAGAACAAATTTTGTATTCTTTGAGGACTCTGTCTGAGATGATATCTAAACAAACATTTTAGGAAGTTTTATTACCTTCTCCAGAGGAGGCTCTGTTAGTTGCCTGAATGAAGACGGTTCTTGATGACCTCTTTGCTTGATATGCTCCACTCTAAATATTTCAGTAAAAGACATGTTTTGAGTTGAAGACATGATCAATGTATTGAGAGCACAGGGTTTTGAAAGTTCCATAAAGGGTACATCTCCCTCAGTTGGGAGTAAGGTTGGAAAATATAACCGTCAGAAATATATGCTGGTAGTATACATGAAAGGATGTAAGATCAGTTGTCTGAGTCTAGCTCACAATGGGGCTGGGAACAGACACGTGTGCTGCTCCAGCCTTGAGTGGACTGGAGATGGGGAGAGCTGGAATTAAACCTTCCCACTGGGACTGGGTCAGGTATCAGATAATGGGCAGGTGTTCAATCCAGCAGACACAATCCAGGGTTCAGAGGGTTTGGATGACAATTGTGCTATAACTGATGTATGAATTGAGAGAGTTCTCTGAATAAGGTCTTCCAAAAGAAGAAGGAGAGAACTTGTCAGCACTCATCTAATCCTGTCCGGGAGCCAGAGTGACCTGATCTTGGTGCAACTGTACCTGTTGTCCAGTGGAAATATTCTCAGACCAGAAAAGAAAAGCATATCTAATTACTTTGAAAAAAACAAAAAAAGTCTCTAAGATTACCCAGTAGCCTTTATTCATGTTCTTTGTGCACCCAAACTGCTTTTGACTTGCTCTCCAGGGTGATTTTGCCCATCCATGAGGAATCTTCTGTGCAAATTACTAAACAGATCATCTTACTACACAATTCTCTTTTTCTAAATTAATGTGTTGGTTTTTCTGTTTTATATATCCCTTGAGAAACTGTTGAATGTAAGTTAGTTCCCAGGAAACTAATCACGCTTACAGTAAGTGCATAAAATCCAACTTCTAGACAAGCTAATTTAAGATGTCAGCCTTAATAATCTCACTATTCTGTTCAGTGGAGCTGTGTTAAAAACAAAACAAAAAAAACTGTGCCTTAAAGTATGCATTCCAACCCTTCCGTTTCTGGTCCATCTCCTCCAACACTGAATCCAACTTGCTCCTCTTACAGCATTTTCTCACACTTCTTTCAGCCAGTGATCTCAGGTCGCATCCTCATTTTATAGGTTTAGTACAGTTGTGCAAGTTCACAAATTTGACCTTTCCTGTTGACAATTCTTCCCCCACATTCCATCAATGTATCTGTGGTCTAAAAGAATAATATTTCTCCTAGCAACCTCTATATCTGTCATGCTTTCAGGGAACATTGACCCTAGATTCTGTCCTTATTGACTGATTAGATTTTTTCCAGGTTTTTCTTGAGGCAGTGAAGTCTGGTCAAGCCCTCAGTAGACCACATTATCCATCTTTAATGGTGGAGAGCACAGATTCTCAGCCTGACTGTCTTTGAATCCTGGCTCCACCTCTTGCTACTTGTGTGACCCTGGGCAAGTTACTTAAACCTTTGTGCCTTTGTTTCCTCATTTGCAAAATGGAGATGGTAACAATATCTGCTCATAAGGCTGCTGTGGCTGAATGAGTTTCTCTATCTACCATGTCTGGCATGTACGTGTGCCACATGTGAGAGCCGTCATTATGGCTGTTGCTGTCCCTTCTCTGAGGAAGCGAGCACAGGGCTTATTAAATGCCTGACTGGGGAGAAAGCAAAAGGAATACAAGGAAGAAAAAATAGGTTTGTATTTCAAAATATTTCATTTTACCACCGAGGTAATTATCAAATCAGCCAAATAATCCCATAGTTTTGTTTTTGACATTTAATACCAGCAGCTTGAATTCTCTATAATTGTGAATGTATAATTTCCACTCCCATGTGTGTAAATCACTTTGTCAGGGAGGAAGACGTTTCCCTCCAACCCTTCTATGTTCTTTGACTAGTCTAATAATTAAATTCATAGAAGACACATGAGCAGGAGAGAAACAAATTTTGTGTGTATGAGACCCAAAGACAGAGACCCCAAAGGCAGTTAGGCAGTTGAAGCTTATATGCCATAATGAGCTAAGGAGAAGCAGGTAATGGTTTGGGGCTTCAAAGGGGAGGATGGGAAGTCACAGGAAGATGAGTAGGGCAAACGTTTGATAAACAAATGTTTGCCATGCCATGCAGGTATGTCTTTCTTTTCTTTTAAAAAGATTTTATTTATTTATTTGAGAGAGAGAATGCGTGCACAAGTCGTGGGGGGGGTGGCCGTGGAGGAGGGGCAGAGGGAGGGAGAAGCAGACACCCAGCTGAGCAGGGCGCCTGGGATCATGACCTGAGCTGAAGGCAGATGCTTAATCGACTGAGCTACCGAGGTGCCTCCAGATATGTCTTTCTGACAAAAAGTTGTCTTTGGCATTAGCTCCCTCCTGGTACAGACCCTCCATCTAAATTCTTTTAAGCGGTTAAAGGGAAGGTAAACAGCTCTTATTGAGTCTGTTGAGCCTTGATTGTCTTCAGCTCAAAATAATCCACACATCAAAGTGGCATATTTGGGGGACATGTATTCTGCTTCCCCCTCAACTTCAACCTGTCTTTCTTTCCAGTAAATCATCAGGATTAGCTTTTCCTTCATAAATTTAAAATTTCTGAGTGAATGGCAGGAAAATGTTTAATGGGAAGGTCAAACACTGGCAGTACTTGAGTGCAGAAAAGAGCAAACAACAGAAAGAAAACACAACTTCCGTATTTTACTGGAATCTGAGTTAATAAATAGAGATCACAGAACAAATAGCAAACAAAAGCTTCAATTACATCAGAACGAAAAAAGAAACGATGAACCTGGATTTCCAGTCTGAAACTGTTACTCAACCAATGGAGCTAACAAGTCAAGTGTTACACATCCGAAAATCCTCTAGAGTTTAAAACAAAAGGAACAGCTCGTTCAGGGTGTAATTGATGCGTACAGATAAATTTCGTAATTTTGCACCTCAGGGAATTTTTGTTTTTCTTAAAGATTAACTAAACTGACCATTTCATCTTGGCAATTATTAGCTTGCCACATTTTTTATAACTAAGAAAAATTAGGCTTCTCTCCATATTGTAGTTGAAATGACATTTTAACCCATATCTTTATAGTAAACTTTATTATCATTAGTACTATAAAACAAACCTTCGACTGAGCTTTGGTTTTACTTAGTCTTCAAGTGAGCATTACTAAAGTTCAAGTACAAAAATTCTCCAGATGAGCACGAAAGTAAGAGTTAAAAAAAATCAGAGATGTATTTTCATGAAGATACATTATTAGATATTTCATAAAAATTCATACAAATAGGAGAAAAAAAGAAAAATATCTGAATACTGTGATTTGTCATTCAATCTCCGTTTTTAGCTTTCCTTCCAGTTAAACTGATTTCCTCATTTATTTGTTTCCGGATTAAAGCCAGAATCAACATTGTCCCTCTTTCTAATCAAATAAGAGAAGCAATTACAAATTCTGGATGCAGTTAGAGGATCCTGAGAGGCAGAGTGGCAGGACCTAGTCTGAGCTGTGTCTCTGACTCATTTTTGACTTCAGGCAAGGTATTTAACATCTCTGTACTTTTGACATAATTGTAATAATGCTAATAGATATCATAGGTATGATATTAAGCATAACTCAGGAAACAACCATGAACTCTTAGGAGAAGTCAGGTTAACTAGAGAGAAGACCACCTCTGCAACGTAGAAAATAAACTTAGAATTATATCTCCTTTCCACTCCTAGCACATTTTGAATGAATTGGATGGGAATTTGATGTAAATAATAGGATTTGCACTTTTAATATACAAGATAGAAAATAAAATGGACAATGTTAAAAAATTTCCATTTCAGAAGTAAAATCTTCAGAAATGCTTTTCTTTATTTCTATCTTTTAGGAATCAAATTTATTTAGCTTTTTCAGGCTTTCACTGAGTGTAAACGCTTAAGATAAATAACAAAGATATTGTTATATTCCATTTTCAGAAAAATCATAAAAAATTTGGAAGAAAATGCCTAAAAGGAGTCTCTAAGTCTGTGTTTATGGGTATATTTTTAAGTAACTGTCTTACATTAATGGTGTAGTCCATTCGTGAATGCTAACTTACTAAACGTGCTTCTTTCAATAGCTCTTTCTTCTTATTTCTTTTATATTGTATTCTTTCATGATAGCTTGCTTAAAACACCATTTTTAAAAATTTTTACATTAACATGTATTTTTGTTTTGTAATTGTTTTTCAAAAAGTTATATACCATCTGTACAACTTTTCAGTTTAAAACTTAATATTTTTGCCTTTAAGTTTAATTCTCTATCAACTAACTTAAAAAACTTTTTAGTGGGGAAGAAATTGGACTTAAGAGACTTAGAATAATTTATATCAAGTAATACAGTACACCCAAGTATAGCCATTTGAAAACTATTTTAGTTTTACAAAAATTGAAAGCTTTGAAACAGCCTAAAGCAAAAACATTATAAAAGAAATACAACTGTATGGTAAGAATTAAATAATCTGATACCACTTTATCATAAGCCAGATTTGCAAAATAATAATGGTTTACTATGATGAATAATAGAGACCAGACTTTCAAAGCATTTGAAAAGCCCAATACCTAAACATTTCTTCGACATTATAGAAGATGCTTAGAATTACAGTTGCAGTGGGTGGGTGGTTGCCTGTGGGGTTTAAGCCATGATTTCAGCTCAGGTCATGATCTCAGAGTCCTGGGATGGAGGCCTGTGCCAGGCTCTCGGCTCAGCATGGAGTCTGCTTAAGATTTTCTCTTTCCCTCTCCCTCTTCCTCTGTTCCTCCCCCGCACTCCTCCTTGTGTGTGCACTCTCTCCCCCAACCTCTCGAATACATGAATAAATCTTAAAAAAAAAAAAAGGAATTACAATTGGTCACTGAGGAATTTTAGGTGACTTGAGATATTCTCAGGAATTATTCTGAAGATTATCAAATTAATATAATGACTTTAAAATATATATTTATAATGACATTTTGAAATGCCTTGTTATTGAAGGAGCTGCCAGACTAGAGGCTCCCTCCTTTCTCTGGGAAAGATCAGATTTGATTATTTTAATGGCAATGAGATGGAAATTTCAGGACACCAGGAGACAGAGCCTGCCAAAACATTTCATTGGCCCTTTATTTTCTACCAAGTCTCATGTAAAGCACTATGTATACGTGTTATATAATCTCCCAGCATGTCCCAGAGCTCTTTCTTTTTTTTTTTTTAAAGATTTTATTTATTTATTTGAGAGAGAGAGAATGAGAGAGAGCACGAGAGGGAAGAGGGTCAGAGGGAGAAGCAGACTCCCTGCCGAGCAGGGAGCCTGATGCGGGACTCGATTCCGGGACTCCAGGATCATGACCTGAGCCGAAGGCAGTCGCTTAACCAACTGAGCCACCCAGGCGCCCTCCTAGAGCTCTTTCAACATACGCTGTCTCTTAGACAAGAGCCAGAATCAGACATAGATGTAAGACCATAATTTGTTTTACAGCTCCTTAACGTTTTAAGCTAGTTTATTCATTTCTGAAATAAAGTACTTGACCCCACAAATACAGAAGGGAAATTGATGAACCAAAGAAAATATACTAATTTCAACAGACAGCATAAAAGCAAAGTCGAGAAGGCACAAAAATTTCATGACTTTGAATTCTTGACTCCCAAATATTTCATCTGATAGCTGGAAGTGGATTAAAACCATGAAGATCTGGTTACTATCACATAAGAAAAATGAGATGTTATTTTTACTACTGGAACAAAAAGGGAAAAATCCCAATCAATAATCCAGCAAAATATATTGGTTTTTTTTCAGTCAGAAGAACAATTTGAATCAGAGTCACAAATAAATGGTACTATATCATACTGTTATACTCATCTCCCAGATTAATGTGAATATACTTAGTGAAAGTTTATTTTATTCCTTTAGCTAAATAATTTTCCCCTCTCTGAGCCTTGTTTCCTGAAGTGTTGATGATGTTTGGATGATCTCACTTCCTTTTATTATAGTTTGACCATGTGTACTAGACTCACGGGATAATGCTTCCTACTTCCAAAATCTCTTTATGTGTTTTTAAAAAACATTTTTAATTTTCTATCTCCATTTTCTTTTGCTTGCTTTTAATAAAACAAATATTCTTGCTTCTTATTTCCTGTAACATTAAAAAACTTCACGTTTATGACTCTGCCATTAATTACATGTTAAGAAATTTCCATCATGTGGAGGGGTAATTTTTACTTTGTATGACTTGAACTCTATGACAAATTTAAAAGTTAAATGACAAATAACCATAAAGGTACAAATGAGATTTTTAAAAAGTAGCAGCAGAGCTATTGTAATTCTGCTTGGGAAATATATTTATTACCAACTGAAAAGTATGAGTCAAACTTATAATTTATTATGAGATAGGTATGATAATAGTTGTAGCCCATTAAGATAGCTTAATTTTAAATGTTAGGTTTTAAGTTTTTCATTATTTATTTTCTCTTGGGATTTTATAAATTAAAATATCTCTTTAAAACCAATATAAGCTAGCACACACCACATGTCATATTTGCAAATCAATACAAACTTTACAAAAGCCATAGTTTATTAAATATTCTCAGTCATTGCTGAAGGAGGGGAGATGATGAAGGGAATCTGATAGGGACAATCTAATAAATTCAACAGACAAAAAGAATTTGGTGTTGGGCGCCTGGGTGGCTCAGTTGGTCAAGCATCTGCCTTCAGCTCCGGTCATGATCCCAGGGTCCCAGGGATCATGTCCCACGTCAGGCTCCCTGCTCACCGGGGAGTCTGCTTTTTCCTCTCCTGCTACCCCTCCCCTTGCTTGTGCTCTCTCTGTTGCTCTCTCTCTCTCTCTCAAATAAATAAAATCTTAAAAAAAAAAAGAATTTTATCTCTAATATACAACTGTAAAATTGTAACAGATGCTGGGAAGTTCTAAAATTCTAACTTCGATTCATAAATTTTCTTCTCATCAATTCACCAAATATTTTGTTGAGTACCTGAACCAAGTTGAATTGTGCCCCATAAAGTGATACATTCAATGCTAACTCCCATTACCTGTAAATGTAACCTTATTTGGAAATAGGGTCTTTGTAGATGGAATCAAGTTAAAATAAGGTCATATTGAATTAGGATGAGCCCCAATCCAATGGGTTGGTGTCCTTGTATGAAGAGGGAAATTAGGCACAGGGACACGCAGAGGGAAGACAGCCATGTGAACGTGCAAGCTGAGAGTAGAGTGTTGCAGACGCACGCCAAGGGATGCCAGTGATGGCTGGCAGCCACCAGATGCTAGAAAAGGCAAGGAAGAATTCTTTCTAGAGGCTTATAGAGAAAGCATAGTTATAGTGATTCCTTAATTTCACACTCCTATCCCCCAGAAATGTGACAGGATCAACTTCTGTTGCTTTAAGCCGCCCCCGGTGTGGTAATTTATAACAACAGCTGTATGAAACGGATACAGTACCTAACTATCTACCAAGCACAATGATATAGCAGAAATAAAAAGGATCAAGTCCTTCATTTCATGGCACTTATGTAACATAAACATATATAGGGGCGCCTGGGTGGCTCAGTCATTAAGCATCTGCCTTCAGCTCAGGTCATGATCGCAGGGTCCTGGGATCTAGCCCCACATTGGGCTCCCTGCTCAGCAGGAAGCCTGCTTCTCCCCCTCCCACTGCCCCTGCTTGTGTTCCCTCTCTCGCTGTGTCTCTCTCTGTCAAATAAATAAATAAAATCTTAAAAAATATATATATAAAATATTTCATTATATTTGAATATATTTTTTGATTTCCTTAATAACTAGCTGTTCCTTTCTTAATATATTAGGTTGAACTGTAAGAAACGGCATATGTTTGAATGGTTTTGACCTACCAAAATGGCAATTTCATATACCTCAAATTAATACACATACTACATCTCTAGGCATTTGATTACTCTAGGTACTTTGTATGAGGGGAAACATACAACATTTGTCCTTTTGTGTCTGGCTTGTTTCACTTGGCATAAGGTCTTCAAGGTTAATATTTCATTGTGTGTATATATCTCATTCTGATGATCCATTCATCTGTGGATGGACATTTGGATTGTTGTTCACACACTTTTTGTCTGTTGGTAATAATGCCGCTATAAACATTGGTGTACAAATAACTGTTCCTATCCCTATTTTCAATTATATCTGTTTTTTACAGTGTGGAGTTTTATTTTTCTTTTTAAAATGAGAATTTTAAACAAATATTTATTTATATAAGTAATCTCTACACCCAATGTGGGGCTCGAACTCATGACCCCGAAGTCAAGAGTCACATACTCTTCTGAATGAGCCAGCCGGGCAACCCTCAAATTAGAATTTTTTTTTTTTAAAGATTTTATTTATTTATTTGAGAGAGCGAGAACGAGAGAGAGAGAGCACATGAGATGGGGGAGGGTCAGAGGGAGAAGCAGACTCCCTGCTGAGCAGGGAGCCCGATGTGGGACTCGATCCCGGGACTCCAGGATCATGACCTGAGCCGAAGGCAGTCGCTTAACCAACTGAGCCACCCAGGC